AAACACATACATAACTAACAAAACAGACTAAAGCAGAATAAAGCGTGGATCTTAGGTGCCATATGTAAGCAGATACAGTTGGACCCACTAATGGGCCAATCCATAATACGTGAACCTTGGGGGCGGCTCCGCCCCAGGATCAAGGAGAGAGAAGGAGACGTCCCCTAAGCACTTTCATGATGAACTAGAAGTATCTGGAAGACATTGGTTCCCACATCATGCAGAACCTATCAATTCCCACCTCAGCCCATATCCATACTACTGCGTAGAGGGTGCAGGCGGGAGCAAAGACTTTCCGCCCGGCCCCTCCAGGGTAAGTCCCCTAGCCTCCACCCAGTCCCCCCAAATCCGATCAATCTTGCGTACACAGTTGCGACTCATATAGGTCAGCCTGTAGAGAGGGAGCATTCCTTGGAGGCCTTTTAAGGTCACAAATGCTGGATGCCATTACAGCACAGTGGAGAAATGATGGGAAAAGTTGAAAAACGTGCCGTGAGTCACAAACATGTCACAAGAACACTTACAAAAAAAAAATGCATAACAGAGATAAAAGTTTGCCGTTAATTAGCATGGTCACTGCAACTAAAAACTACAAACATGTCACAAGAACACTTACAAAAAAAAAAAATGCATAACAGAGATAAAAGTTTGCAGTTAATTAGCATGGTCACTGCAACTAAAAATGTTGCAGACGTGTTCATAAATTCCCCTTATGTCTCGTAAGCATTTGACTTTTTGTTTTAGCTACAAAAACATTTAACCCTTTTCTTTTCACCATTGGTTGCACATATCCTTTAGCCTCTTTGTAGCCACTTCCTGTCTATATGCATGCACTCAAGCAACTGCTGCACACTGTTTTCTCAAGCCACTTGTCCTTTCCATCTATGCGACAACACTGGAGCACAAGTGGGAAGCAGTTATCATGCTCTACCAGGAAGTGCCTGAAGAAGGACTTTCATGGCAGGATCACCAGGCATTATTTTAACAAACCTTTTTGTTAGTTATGGATAGAGGAGAGAGGGACTAGAACACCTGCCAGGATTTTATTGCCATCTGTCCCCAATGGGGAGATGCACCCTAGTGGTCCTTGGCTTAAGATACACTTTAAGGTACAATGGCCGTCCTTGTCAGGTTTTTATTGATGTCGGTGTCCCCGTTAGGGTGATTGACCTTCTCTATTTGTCCCGGTGACTATTAACAAAGGAAAATATGACATTGGATAGTCATCAGAACAGGAATAGATGGGAAATCCTCCACTAGGGACACTAGCTCTGGTGATCCATGTTTTTGCAAGCGTTTCAGCGGGCAGATTGTGACACATTGATATCAATAGGCAAACTGTGTGTTAAATGCGCCAAAAAAAAATTGTGTTGCACATTTCCAAGCGTTTCCTATTGAGTCTATGAGGACAAAACTCACTGTAATCTGCCAAAAAGAAGCTCATGTACCCTTTTCCAGCGACAGGGGTTTTACAGCTAGTGACAGAATGTTCAGGTGTGAACGGGGGGCCATAGGAATCAATGACTACCAAGTTAAAGCCAAACTCTAGCTAACCTTTTTTAAGCAGTTACAGCAACAGTTTTTTTTCCATATGAACTAAAACTGACCATTGTAAACCCCCCCCC